AGTTCTCCAAAGTCATTTGTCACCATTGGAACTTGAGAGTTCTTGGAATTTGAAATGATCCACTTCAACTAAAGAACAAAGAAAAAGACGTCTAACTTTTTGAAATGTTTTTGGTCAAATTCATTAATCTCAATGCAGTTTTGGGTTATCTCAGATTAGATAAGGTTATCAATTCTAAAATCAGCCATAGTATCATTGTCAACCAACGACAAAAATCTTCAATATCATAAACTGATTTTTTTAAAACGGTAATTTTTTGACAGCAGCGACAGTTGATTAAAGGAAAGAGCATGAATTCTGAGGGGAATATATTGAAATATCTAGTACTCGAATTTCAGTCATACCTCGAGTGTTGTAGGAGTGCTGATGATCTTGTTCGGCAGAAAGAATTATGACTATATCGGAACGTTCATCGAAATAATTCCAGCCAGGCAGCTAAAAAACTACATTCCAGGCTCACGCGGTTTGAAAGAAATTTATAATGATAACGCCAAATAAGTTCCTTGGCAACAATTAAACCAAGGAATTTATTTGATTTGAAGACCTTAGTTCCTCAGAGCCTATCAATGAAGGTGTTTTCTCGTTTTATGTAACACCGAATTCTGAAGCCTATAACAGTAGGCGAGGAACAACAGCTCTACGCGGTCTTCATAGTTAACCAAGTAGGGGAAAAAATAAAACATAACAAATCAGCTCAATTTATAGATTTGGTGAAAGTCGTGAGGAGTGCATCCACACATTATAAAAACAATCAGAGAACTTAATACTATATAAGTATGAGGCAGGGTGATAGCTTCAGCTTACTGAGGGCCCAACATTGATTGCAAATACAGAGGATGAACTACAATGGCTATTGCGGGCTTTTAGAACATATTCAGAAAAAAAAACATAAATGTTACAAAAAAACTGTGGTAATAGCTAGAGAATTGTGTAGATGTAACGGCCACATGATAGAGCAAGTAAAAGTAACTTATTTTGGTGTAAGTATATCGTCTTATCGAAAACTCTAGAACAACCAGAAAGCATCTGAAGAAACAACTACATATCTAACGAAAGTGAGGATACATAAAGCCTGCATCAGGCCAATAATGACTAACCTAAAACTAAATGAACGGTGGTAGTAAAAGAGCCAACAAGATGTAAGCCGAGGATCGCCAATACCTCAACCGACTAAGTCATGAAATTTTCCTACTTGGATGTACACGATCCCAATTTTTCCACGATCCCACAAAGGACCAGAGAAGTCAGATCAACATACCATCCGCAATTTAAGGCTGCTTTCGAGATATTATTTGGTTACTACTATTTGGCTATTACAAGACCCAAGGAATAACTGATGGCATTGAGTCAGATCTGATCAGGAACGGTCTAGGGAGAGAGGAAGAACCAGAATATTATTTGTTTAGATCTTCATTACCGAAAACGATTTAAAAGATTTATTCCATTGATTTCATAAAAAACCTATTAGTTAGNCCAAGGAATTTATTTGATTTGAAGACCTTAGTTCCTCAGAGCCTATCAATGAAGGTGTTTTCCCGTTTTATGTAACACCGAATTCTGAAACCTATAACAGTAGGCGAGGAACAACAGCTCTACGCGGTCTTCATAGTTAACCAAGTAGGGGAAAACAATAAAACATAACAAATCAGCATATTCCTGATTTATAGATTTGATGAAAGTCGAGGGGAGTGCACCCACAGATTATAAAAACAATCGGAGAACTTAATACTATATAAGTATAAGGCAGGGTAATAGCTTCAGCTCACTGAGGGCTCAACATTGATTGCAAATACAGAGGATGAACTACAATGGCTATTACGGGCTTTTAGAACACATTCAGAAAAAAAACATAAATGTTACAAAAAAAAGCTGTGGTAATAGCTGGAGAATCGTGTAGATGTAACGGCCACATGATGGAGCAAGTAAAAGTAACTTATTTTGGTGTAAGTATATCAAGTCTTATCGAAAACTCTAGAACAACCAGAAACCATCTGAAGAAATAACTGCATATCTACCGAAACCAAAGTGAGGATACATAAAGCCTGCATCAGGCCAATAATGACATACTAAAATAAATAAATTAATTAAGTAATTACTGAAAACACAAAAAATCTATACAAACACTAAAGGAGAATCTGCATAATGTGCTATGCTGACGACGCTGCGATTATCGTCAACTCAGAGAATGACATGCAAAGACAACTAAACAAGTTCTATCATGCGAGCGAAGTCCTGATAGTAAAACAGCCAACAAGATGTAAGCTGAGGATCACCAACATCTCAACCGAATAAGTCATGGAATTTTCCTACTTGGATGTACACGATCCCACAAAGGACCAGAGAAGTCAGATCAATTTCAGGCTGCCTACGAGATATTATTTGATTATTACTATTTGGCTATTACAAGACCCAAGAATAACTGATGGCATTGAGATATGCGGCGAAACAAACAAAACTAACAGAATCTAGACATCAGATTCCAAATAGCAATTAAGGACAGTGTTAGATAGGAAAGACAACGCAAGAGATTTTGGCCGAAAATTATGCTTACGAATAACCCGACCGGAATTCGACCATTATGTAGGCCACCAAAGGGACGGAGAGACGTTTGTACAACTTTTTAAGAGATATTTGAGAGTTAGATCTGATCAGGAACGATCTAGGGATAGAGGAAGAACCAGAATATTATTTGTTTAGATCTTCATTACCGAAAACGATTTAAAAGATTTATTCCATTGATTTCATAAAAAACCTATTAGTTAGTTATTAATAACACAATAACTTACGTGTGTTCGGTAATGCACAAAACGTAAACTAATTAATTTATATGCAGTTTTTACACAAATGAAAACTGTGTAATTTAGATGATTTTGATCAAAATACGATGCATAATTTGGTTATAAAAATATTGATAACATTTTCTTCAAGCTTTACTTAGACTGTCTTAGATCTTAAGTTTCTATTCAAATTATATATTATTTTGATATGAGTTGAGGAGTCGATTTATATTTGTCGTCGTTGTATTACCATTCCGATTTGTCACAGGCCACACGCTTCCAATTTCGTACACCAAGTGTCCTAATATCCTCTACTACATCATCCTTCCATCTTATCTTTAGTGTTCTTCTAGCTCTCTATCCCTGTGGTGTCTATTCTACAATTCTTTTTTTCCTTTGTCTCCCTTTATCCTTTCTAGATGTCCCAGTCATGTTATTCTCTGTGCATTTATGTGTCAATTTGTAGTTGATTCTTGTTCTCCACCTTTCAGCACCATATTATGTCGGTCTATATATCTTGCATAAGATTTGTCTTTGAAAGACTGTTAATTTGATTTCATCTCCAGTCGATATGGACCTATAATAGTGCTTATAAGTAGCACTAATTGCCGCTTTGTATACTAGCATCGATTTCTTCAGTGACACTATTTATTTCATTTACGCCGGATCCCAAATATATAAAGCTTTGTACTCGTTCGGTACTAGGTCTTTTTTTCGGGATCTTATGAACACAATATATTTTGATTTGGATTCGTTAGTTATGAGTCCTCCTTTTGAGGCTACATTTATGAGTTTACTAAATTTTTCCCTCAGCACCAAAGGTTTTTTTTGGTGCTGACACTAGCCGCAAGATTTTCTTGTTGGTAACATTTCGTATTGCGAGCTCCCGTAATGACAACTTCTAAAATCAGATTACATATTACGGGAGATAACGCGTCACCATGTCTGACTCCGCATTTTATTTCAAACAGCTCTGTTAGTTCTGACTGTTACTTTCGATCCAGTTAGCCTGATATTAGTAAGTCTGTGGTTTTGCTAGGTGTTGTAGCATCTTTTTTTCGACTACAGTGATGCCTCTGTAGCTGTTACAGTTTAGTTTGTTTCTCTTCTTATAGATGGGCTGGATGACACCTACCTTCCACTCTTCTGGGATTCGTTTATTTCTCCACATTTTTTATGTTAATTATGTTTCCATATATTATGTTCTCTGTTGATGTTTTGAGTACTTCAACAATAGTTTCTTCGATTCGTTTCATCTCAAAGTTTTGATCAATAAACTTTGAAATGGTTATCAGTATCGATTTAAAAAATAATGAATCCTTGCGTGGATATCATTATAGTTGAGTTTGTTGATGTAATAATAAATATTCTAAAATAAGATTCATTTTCATCAAAATCGCCACAAAGTGATGCATGTCGTAGCCACATTAGCATACTTTCTATTTACAAAGATATAATAGGAGTGTTTATTCCAAGTAAATGTAACAGTCATAATTAAAATTAAATATATACACCCTACTGTAACAAACATTTTTAATGAATACGATATTATACACGACCACAATACAAGAAACAATGAAACTACCATGTAAAAATTAAGAGAAAAAATGTTTCTCTTAATTCTTTTGTTTATGAAGAGAATAACGCGATATAATACTGTGTCCTACACCATAAAGAAGTAGAACACTGTTATTGTTATTTTGTACAATATTTTAATCAAGCATGTCGACCAAACAGATTTCTATCAAAATTAGATTATTCTTTTAGATAAAAAAATGAAAAAAAAAATAAATTTAAGACCTTACCTATAATCATTGGAAATAAAATTTGAATTATTTTAATTTACAGATTTATTGAGTGTTGTTACTATAAAATGATGTAGTTGTAAGTAAATTGGTTGCACGTGCATCAGATTTCTGCAAGGGAATCAAAGCAACCTAAGAGTAACATAATATACATCGTCACGGGGAGTGAAACGTCCCCGTTCTCCCTTGAAAGATTTAATGCAGAGAGGGTTCCCAAATACGGGTTCGCAAATTGCTTTACTCTATTATCCCCACCCCATGATTCCCCGGTACAATGCGGTAGCTTTTATTTAATTACCGGAGTGCGTATATGGGGGCAGTCAAAACAGCACGAGATTTCGTGTTACTGAGACCACTTAGGACTTTCTCTGGGGTTGCATCTTAAAAATCAAATTATAGAGTCTTCTTTGTGGGGAGATCGAACGACTTTATTAAATCTGACATTGACATGTGTTAAAATAAGTTAATTAAAAATATAAAATTGATTATTTAATTAAATAAACTTATTCTTCGGGTGGTGTTGTTACGTAATTGCCAGGTATATGTTTGGTTAATGTCCAATCGTGTCTATATGCAAAATAACCACCGTATGCTCGAACTGGTATTCCAGGTAATAGATCCCATCCTCTTTCCAATAAATCTTTTCGAATAAGACAAGCTAAACCTAACGCAGCAGTAGATGAAATTGCTGCAACCCCGGTACCCCACCAAGTTCCAAAAAGTAATCCGGCAGAAGCACCTCCAAGAAACCAGGATGTTTTATCACCTCCACCGCGAACTTTAGCCGCTAAATTTGTGACAAGTACAAAAGCGGTTGCCCCACCGATGATAGGCGTTGCTAGATGTCCAATACGTCTAAATACTTGAGTATACGTTAAAGATTTTTTTGATGTTAAGATATCTGTTGCCGATACCATTATAGTAGTTACAACGGCTGGTTTCATAAAAATTAACCACTTTTTTAGTATCTCTTCACCATCGGGTTCATCAAAATAACTATACTTCCTCCATTTATATCCAAAGATATCAGTTTTATATTCATCCGACATGGAAAAGATTTTTAAATGTTTGATGTGACGTTTAAACTTGACAAGTAGTATGAAAGATTCAATATCTTTGCGTGCAGATTTTTAATCTAGAACGTTCGGAATAGATCAGATAAGTTCGGGCAACCCGGTGGATATTAGGCCGGAGCGAACACGACGCGGATTACAATGGATATAAAGTTTAATAGTCCCGGCGCAGATTTATTACGCAGACGACGGTCCCTGGTTATGATTGCCATAAAGTTTTGTATCCCCTAAGAGATAAGTTATGTACTCACATGCCGGATGCTCCGTCCGTAATCTGATGTCTTATCGCTCTTAAACTATTACCGTAACGCACCGAGTTGACGTCCCGATCTACTCGGTTTCCGCGATGCCGACGTCCAAAGCACCCAAGTATTAGTTGCCTAACTTGCATACGTGGCAACCACCATCCTTGTTTAGCTTTCGTGCTGTATTGGCGGTTTTGGAAGGAAACAATTTTTATTTAGTGCTTATAATCAAAGTTGCTGATCTAGATAAAGTTTATGAGGATTTAAAATGAAACCACGTTGTTTTAGAAAACACAAGAGGCGCAGATGTTTGGAAATAAATGAAAATTTCGTTCCACAATTACGTTGTGCATCGGTTTACGTGAAGTAATTCTCTTTCTCGGTGGAAATAACGAACGACTCGGGGGGTAAGTTGTAAAAGTAAATCTGCGCGTAGTATAGCAGCAGTCCATTCAATTAAAACGAGCTCACCTACTTTAAAACGGCACCACCACCGACGTGAGCTTAACTGGATGATGGAATTATTTTAAACGCGTTGTAGATTTACCTACCTTCACATTAAATTCGACGTATATTTAAGTTTCGTTATTATTTGAAAACTAGCTTAGTTGGGCGTTGAGAATACGTAATGCGGGTAGATGGTGGTGGCACATCGAGGTTAATATTCTGAAAATTTTGTCTTTCCCGGTCCAACCCCACTACGTCATTAAATCAAATGTCTTAACTTGCCGAGAGAAATGGACTTAAGGAGCAACATTTGCGTTGGGACCGCTGACGTGAAAATTTAGTTGGGGAAACTCGGGAGTTTGCGAGAAGTTGTATGAGGTCTAAATTTATATGAAGTAGGGAATATAAAACAGCCGTGCATTACTTTGGAAAGAACGAGCCGTATTTCAAATGTCGAGCCAGTTTTAACTAACTAAGCTTAAGTGTTAAGAATGCTTTACCCTATTATCGTTATCCAGATTTATTATTTAAGCCGTAAATAGATATCATTCAAAATCATATCGTCACAAATTCTTTTCCCTATTGAAAACGAACGAGATCGTTACATCTTGAGAAGAATTTATACGATATCCATAAGAATACAAAATTGACGGTGAAATTGAATATCTCGCAAGTTTGTAACGCTTCCGGTATCTGCCAATGAAGGAATCGATAATATAGTAGAAAAAAATGCATTTTAATAATTTCTTATACTAAAATATGTAGTAATATAAGTGAAGTTATTTTATAATTTTTATAAGCGCAAATCGTTCAGTTATCGAACGTAATTCGTAAGTAGTTTTTATTGTACTTAACGGAAAATCGAAAACGAAACACGACGGTCGAGGCTGCAAAACGAGGATGGCGTTTTAAAAGGGAACAACGATTTCGATTTTTGCCACCGGAATATCCAGGAAGTGCTAAACAGTTTTAAAAATCGGGACATGTTTTGTTCGGGAAATAGGTTTTTTTTAAATACTCGAATAATGGGCCATTTTATACAGGAAAACTTTTTACGTCGTGTTTCCACGTTCTCGCGCATTATCGGCTTTATCTAAAAGGGAGAGTGGTGAATGGGCAATTTTTGAAGTTCACGTACTGGAATGATCTCCGATGAAATCCTGAACCTACCATTTTTTTACACTTGTTAATTTTATTTTTCATAAATGTAATATAATTTTTTAGTATAGTTTTTAGTATATCATTTGATCAAATATATTTGATATAGACAAAACCGTTGTCATAGTTCTAGAAATCGTTCTTAAATTTCTTAAATATACATCGCTCCCTTAAATATACATCTCCTGAGTCTAAAGTTTTCTTTTTAATTACATTCAGTAATTAAGGCTTTTTTGTTTGTTTTTTATTCTTTCATTCTAAAACAGCCCTAAATGTTTTTAATTAAGCAGGCAATGTTGGTTACAAAAGACAAAGATAAAAATTATCAAATTAAGTCAGTGGTTAGAGAAGCTTAGGTGAACTTAGATTTAATACTCGTGTAGACTCGCAAAAAACGGTAATGTACACAGATTTTGTTGCGGTAGACACAATCACGTAAGTAGCAAACGTTGATAGGTACAATGTGATTGATGCAATAATTTCCGGGAAAATTGGCGCACTGGTAACGTGGCACCAATGTTTTTCCAACTGAACGCCGAATCAATGGAATGGGAGGTAAAATATGAAAATCGTTTAATAAAGTTCTACTGTTTGGTGTTTATTGTTTATAATTTTCAACTGAAAATGGTGAGAGATAAATTTGAGAAGTTTCTCTATCGTTTTGTTTGACAGTAAACACTATATACCATTAAATTAACCCAGAAATATAGGCGAATTATTTGTTTTGTGTACAATAAATTAAATTTTTTATAGTTTTACATTATTTTATTTCCTTCGTAATCACGCTATATTTATACGCTTATTTATGATCAAGCATTTAGGGTGTTAATTATGAGGAAATAGGTCGGTTTTCTACTTAGCCTTGTTATTTTGCAATGGGGTATAATTAAAACAAAATGATCGAAGTAATCTCAAGATAGCTCTTGTAAATCTAAAAGACCAAAATAAGAACTTGAAATAAAAAATATTGCCAAGAAGAACAAGGGAAAACTGCTTAAACTATTCTGATGTTCATAATTCTGATAAAAATGTTTTTCGGCATGCATTGAATGTGGATACTTCGGGTGATGTTATTGTTGAAGTTTTTAAGATGGAGAAAACTAAATAAATAGATGTTATGAAATTTCGTGTTTTTATTTGTAAATAAGTATTGTACTTAAGGATAGATAAGAGATTGTTAAAAGGGTGTTAATCGTGAGTCATCTTACTGTTTCTTCGTTGGCTATTATTTCACATAAGCGATTATTTATTATCTTTTCTCATCAAGATTTTAGAAATTGTGCGTAATAAGCTAATCGGTAAGTAGATAGTTATATTCTTGGACTTCCCTAGTTGTCTTCCCCAGCCACTTGAGAGACATGCTCTTGAAGTAAGTTATAGTTCGAGCATTTGGCTTCGGGTTGTATAAGGGTTTGGTAAATTATTAACTTTGTTTTCCTACTCATCATACGACTAGAGAGTTGTAACAACCCGTCTTCTTACTTTTGTGCTACAGTTTTTCTTCGAGTTCACATTGGAGCCAAGATGCGAAAATTGCCGCAAAAATGAAGTTCTCAGCATCGATTTCAAGATTCTTTCCAAGGTCATGCATTTTATGAATCAACATAGTTTCTGACATGACCTTTCTTTTTGTTTATTTATTTGTAGGCCATAGCTGTTAGCTGACCCTACCACTGCTGTATAAGTTCCTATTATCTGAGTAGGTGTCTACGTGGTTCTCGTAGGCGAGCAGTTATTTTGATATTTTTTAAGCAGCAACTGACGTTCTTTATTATCATTCTTACCAAGTTTTCTTGGAAAGTTGAGGGTATTATATAGTTTGGTTTACGATGTACATATTTAAAGTGTTGATGTTGTGCCTAGAAAAGGGTCTAGACCTTTTGCACGATCTAGCATCGGCCATTTTTTTCCGTAGTCCATATTTGTTGGTATATTTGGTGATTGAGGAATTTCATGTAGCACTTCTATCTCTGCTAGGGTTGATACTTCCTGTTCCTAATTATTTACTCCCCTCCGATTTTCTGCATTCATGTCAGCGTCTACATTTCTTTACATTCATTGTATTTATGTTACTTTATAACATTATTTCATTTAATCGTTAATATAAATATTCATCATTTACTTTCGCACTTTCGGCTTTAAGACATGGAATAGATCTCATGCCTAGTTGGTCATCATACATTTATACACATATTACAGTTGTTGTTGAAATCGTTAACTAACAGAGAGGAATTTAAAGAGGAACTCTACTGGAGTAAGAACATATATGCTTGTGTCTTAATCGTAGATGGTATGGCGAGAGCTGCAGTTCACAGTTAGTAGTTAGTTGTGGGTTGCTGTATCATTTCAGGAGATATGAAATTATAGGAAAATGAACTGAACTCTCGGAAAAATGTATTTCGAATTATAAAACATAACATGTCTTTATTCGTTCTGAGGTCATATTTAGATCTTGGGGTATTGATCAAAAGGTTTCATTTTTTTTAGCTCACCGCGTACATTAAACTCAAAATGCTATTTTGACAGAAACACAGATAATGTTAGAACATTCTAGTTTTATATTTCATTAACATAGTGCTTTAAATTTCAAATATAACTTAAAATGTATTGTAATGTTGTTAAATACTAGTTTAATGAACACATGGCTAAACCCGAAACTTTCTAGTTATTTTTCATTAAAATAATGCTTTAAATTTAAAATATAATTTAAATACTGTTTGTTAAATACTATTGTAATAGATGTGGTCCAACTCGCAAGTTACTAATTTTATTTCTAATAACACCGCCCTCGAAATTCTTCTTCTTTCATTTAATGAAATATACAGATCGTTAGGAAGAAGAAGACGTATATAAAATAAAGTAAACATAGTTTCGAAAAAATTTAATATGCTAATGTTGCACAACAAACGTGCTAACATGATTCCCGTTTAATTTACTGTTACTCAACGTATGTTGACCTAACACATATAAACCAACATTTCATTATCGAATATAAACTTCCAATAAATCAATAAATTCTTGATTGATCCAAGTATGGGTCGTGCGGATAATATTTCAAACGTCAATTTTAATCATGTCATGAGTTGAATGCATTGACAGTCTTTACTATTCTATCTAGTAGTGTAGTTGAGCTCACACTTTTTTAAAGTTTTGTGTTAATCCACTATATTTCGCTACAATCTACTATCTCATTTCTCTTGCTGATACTGTCATATTTAAAGTTACCAGTGTTATATTACCAGCAAGTTTGTCGGTTCATGTTCTCTTTGTCGGCAATTCCTTTTCAATTTGATGTGGTGGGTGTTAATCCAGAAGCGATATTTTAGATAACTAATACAATAAAAGAGATATAAAGAATTTGTGATTAAGATTACTAAAGATTTAGATTACTAAAATTGGGTGAATTATAGCAAAGGCATGAGGAATTAATTGATTAGTTAACTGCATTTTGTTGCAGTTTTAGTTAATAATAGGCTTACAACATCTTTGCACAATGGTAAAAGATGCCAATCACCATGGGCTAATTTCCTAGGTTAGGTTGATGAAATATTTTTTTGCAATAAATTTTCCCACAGATTTACGGTCATTGGGATTTCTTAACTTCTTGCATCTATTTCGGGGAATGGCAAATCAACATCTACGACTCCATCATATGTCTACACCGTATTGAAGATTTTACTTTTATTTTTCAAATGTTCATTGCTGACAGCACATTCCTTCGACACTAGTCCTATAGGTAATCTTTGCAAGTCTAATAATTCAATCCTTCCATTACAATATTCTTTATTCCAAAGAGTGCATAAAAATCGTGTATTCGATTTAAACAGAGCTTTACAAAAAAATGAAAAGTTTCATATTTACTGAAACCATAATCGACCCAGTTTGTCGGTCGATTAATCTTATTAATAATCGCCCAATTATGGGCACAGTTCGCCCTACTAATCCTAAGACATGACATCTAATTAGCGCAGGTATACGCTTAATCTAGTTCCGTGGAAATGGTACTGACTGGTTGTGCGGATCCAACCAAACCCACATCATTACCAATACACCTGTATTTCCAATACACTTATTCAGTTTAATACGCTATTATAGATAGTGAGACGTTGAGAAGAGAAAATAATTCATGAATCCTGTTGTTGGATACGAGACCCAAAAGTAATGAAAGCAGAAACGCCGAGAGAAGTATATTTGTTAGTTGAGGGCGTTTCTAAAAAAGTAAGTAAAGTCGCTGACTCTATTTTATATTATCAATTTTAATGAAGTACATTGATCTTGTCAACTAGACTGCAATTTCAATCTATGCAAAAAGTACCAACATTAAAACGAACAACCAAAAACGCACCATCAATAAAGTTGCTAAAACCGTTGATGTTGGAAAGAGGAAGATATCGGATTCTACAGGCTAAAATGGAACGTAAAGAGATTTAAAAACTTCGTTTTATTTATGAAAAACTAGGATGAATATATGCAAATGTAGAAAATCATATTATCTTATTATCTACACAAAATTAAAAAATATTGCAATCAAGGCTGCGAAATATTTTATTTTAATGCTACTTGGATAAATGTTGGACCCAACAGAACTAAGGTGTGGAAAGATTGGTCCGTTGGCTTCGCCAGGGAAGTCTTAACGGAAGGTTTGTCCACAGGTCTTTCCTATCCTTCTTGGAAAGGAAATCGCTTTATTATTGGCTACATTAGTAATGAAAATGGGTTGATAACAGACGGTTGGCTGATGTTTCAATCCTAAAAAATAACTGAATATCATGAAGAGGTATTTCGAAAAGTGGTTACGCGACGTTTTGGAGAATGTACCACAAAATTCACCTATTAAAAGTATTCAGTTCAGCTAAAGATACCAACATCCGGTTGGAAAAGAGGATAAATTTTTACTTTTCTTCAAACAAACGAAAGTGCGCTTAATCTTGAATTACTTGCCAAAGCGAAGGAATTCATGGCAAGTCAATTTATTCGTTTCCAAATTGTCTGCTTAATAATATCGAATTGATATGAGATCCAATTAAAGGACATGTTTCAGTAAATAATAAAACATTTCAATTCACGAATGTTAAAGAGACGATGACATCTGACAACTGCCGCTAGGCTAGATAAATAATTGTAGAGACTCGAGTTAATTAATGCTAAGAACTGAGACAATGAATTTCGTTATGGAGACACTTTGAGTGCTGACCAGAAAATGAGAAACAACTTATCAAAAATAATCTTCGGTGAACCTACAATTAGATTTCAATATTGATAATGCTGACAACAAGTCTAGCTATTTCTCTCACACCCAGAGCACAGAATAACCAGAAGAGACAGTGGAGACGTCTAGACAAAAATCATCGGAGCGCATATGTGCGAGTTTGTCCTTTAAATTGGAGTTTATTTATGTTTACAGTTATAGTGTAAACCTACCTTTAAAAAAGTATTATTATAAATTTCTGAGCGTGTAAACCTTACTTCAACCCCAATTTAAAGGGCTCGATACAGGCGCTACTGACTGAAGGTTATTCAAACAACATTAAAACATGAAACGTTCTGACAAAGCTGTCTCTTCTGGTTATTCTGTGCCCGGAGTGTGGGCGTAGTCTTTAATCCTCTGTCTACTCAATATGTTACTAACACTGCACGCCACGACATGCGCTTTAGAGGGAGTCAAGTTATAAAAAATATACAGTTTTTATTCTTTTCTAAGGCCTATATTAAAATATCATAGTTCTATGTCATAGATCTGTTATCAAATATTTGCCAAAATATGTTGTCGATTTACACTATGTAATAATATATGTAATTATATTATTATACAAAATGGACGAACAACAGTTCTTTTTTTGCTTTTGATGTCTGTTTGTTAGGCGCGTTGGGTAGCAAAAAGTAATAATTTGGGAATTCGGAATAATTTATTGAGAGAATTGAAAAGTGAAGACCCAAAACATTACGAGAACTATTTAAGAATGGATAAGAAGAGCTTGTGTTGCTTGACGTCTAAAGTATATAAATAAATTGATTTCAAAGAAAAATACTCATTTGAGAAACAATATAAACGTGACCGCCTTATTGTAACACTTAGATTCTTAGCAATTGGTGAATCTTATCTTAATCCATTGATTTTTTCCCTTACATCTGTTGCTGTACAAACTTCAACAATATTATTTATAACCTCAGCAATCGATTGATAAAGAAGTAAACGTTTGTTTCTGTTTTTATAGTCTTATCGTTTTTATAGTTTATTACTTTTGATATTATATATTTCATTCGTTTCACACTCGGAAATTAATAATTTGGTGGCAGCTTTTGTGCACTGAAACTTGTCAGACGCCATTTTTGTTCCAAATATCATAATATGTCCTGTTAACGAGAACAGATGGTCATAGATATATGATCATATTTAAACTATTATAGTATTTGGTACATGACACTGTAATATTTATCATCAAAGATAATAGATCTATTACATGGAAGTATGATAGTGTAATAACGGCCTAAAAAAGGTTTCTTCCCATCGAAAACTAATAGTTTGACATAAACTATAATAAGTTGTCTTTGGTGAAGAAAAGAATGTGCTTGTTTTCGAATTTATTAATTCTGGAAAGTACTTTGTCAATGAACAACATAATAAACAATATCACATTCCTTTAAATTTCCAACAACCGCTTTATCACACCAAATTTAATGAGAGAGCCCAACTCTCTCATTCTCATCTTTCAAATTTCCCAAGAAGTAATATATTTTAATGAAATATTTGTTTTTAATTAAATTTATTTGAAATTTTTGTTGAAAAAAAAAATTTATCTAAACGAAGCCGTTGACTTTATTGTTATTTTATACGTACAAACAATACAACTCAATACCAATTAATTCAATTTAATCCCTTATTAACGGTAGTAACAATGAGTGATGAAACTATACCGACATCATTCGATAGTGATGTGTATAACAATACTTGATAGATATAATTAGTCTAATTGTTGTCGTAAATTTGTAATGTTAGTAAATAAATAATAAGTAATAGAATATTTTCACCATATTTCACCACTACTTTTTTTTACAATTATCATCAAACAACAAAAATCGCCACGGATACATACTTCTCCCTAATAAAATAGGATGATATAAATGAAAATTTTCCTTTAAAGAAAATATCTCGTATCAAGATGATACGTAATTTTCTCCAAATCAGCTACGGGATACAAACGTAATGAATTACCTGCCATTCCTTGGTCCAACGTTTGGTACATAGGATGAGCTTGCGCTGATGGCGTCATCCGGAATTGCTCCGGATTCCATTCCCAGCGGTTCATTACAGGACCCTGTAACAAACAGTTAAATTCAGTACGACATTTCTCCTATAGCATCGTCTTTTGAAAGTCTTTTGAACTTCTCGTGTACACCTCGCTGACATCATTTTGCACGACTACATTTAATATAGCTACCTCGCTTTGTAGATCACAAATATTCTTGATACTTGATGTAAACGTTTTGAGAATGATTTAAGTGGAATGATTTCGAATTATTAAGATCGTTAACGTAACAAATATTAGGAGGTTGAATCTGATATTAATCATAGAAGAGTAATTTGAGTTGCATGTCAAATTGGGCGGTTTAGTTTCCGAGATAATTGCGGAACTTTATGGCGGTTTAATCATTACGACTGCATTAAGCCGTATTACCACCGAAGCTGGATATAACATCCGAGTTCTCCGCTAGAAATCAAATATCAATCGGTTAAGACGTTTTCCAATATCGTCGTCGACGCCGGCATCGTTGTGCACACGCTGAGGAAAATGGCCGGCGTAAAAGAGAAATACTAGTTCCAATCGGGCTCGGTGAATGGAGCAAAAAGTGCGAAATGGAAATGGTTTTCGACCGAATTCGTGTTTCCGGCTATCGAGCTTTTTGGTCGCTTTGCGCGGAAGATGGGGCCGTCCTATAATGTTATTATTCTCTAGATTTCAGGTTAACTTTAATAAACCACTTAAAAGCCGGGCGGGCCGCGAAGGAAGGGATTATCCTCTCGACCCAAGCGGTAGACGTCGGTTGCTAAAATTAAGTTATACGCGGGGGAAATGCAATTTTCCGCATTACAATCTATAAATTTTTGGTTTAGAATGGTTTGGCGAGTAAGTAAATTTTCAGTTTTGGACGAAATTGAAAATCAAATCGATCTTATGCGATAAATATAAGTTAAAACTGTTTCAAGTATGTAGGTATGATACTACCTGCAAGAACTCTATAGATATATTATATTCCCTCCTACAATTAATTATTTCTCTAGAACGTTATTTGCAGAAATGTCGTAAACATAGCAGCTATTGTAATTTCCCTAGAGAACTCTTCAAATAATATGTGAAAAATAATCTGATTATTTTTTCTAGACCTTCTTTTTTGTAGATAAACTCTGTACTACATGGTTATCAACTTTATGAAACAATCTTTTAATACATATTTTAATTAAAGTTACAAACATTTTATAAACACGTCAACATTCGAAACATTCATTGAAATTTATACACTGTTCTATAACCCGATATTCAAACAATTCCCCCAGATAACAATATTATACGAATTCAATGTGTAGATTGAACTGTATCCGAATTCGAAATAATTTCGGATTTTAGTTTGGAGCAAAACGAGTGGTCCACGATTTTCACTACTGGTACATACGTGTATTTAATTTTTTTAAATTAATTCATTCAATTTAACGTGAAAATAAACACTCGTATCGTTCGCTTAACAGAATTTCCGTAAATATAGGGATGGATCGAATGCGTACAGTTAGTTTGGGCCATGGTTGTACTGTTCGATATTCGAAAATCCGGCACGAATTTTTGCAACAACGCTATCGGAGGGAACAGTGTCGCATGAAATTTAGATTTACGAATGGGTCCGTTGCTGTAGCCGAGGGCCATTTCAGGAAGGATATTCGTCGTAAATCTCCCGTTTCCGTCAGGCCGCGGCTGATTTGGTCTACTTTAAAAAGTCATATTGTTACCGGCCAGATAGAAACTTTTTTCATCAGCCACCAGTCGACGTTGGCATCAGTCGTTTGTGTTGAAGTACGCGCTTAAAAACGGTATCTGTTAAGGAGGATTTCAAAAGAAGGTCGCTCATTTAAAAAGTTCCGGAAATCTTTACCTAAGTAGATTATTTTTCTTCCGATCGAATTGGCTTCGAGTACCGCAATATTACAGACTTACTTAAAATTGTATTGATTTTATTCCACCCGCGGATACTTTACTTTTATTAAACCTTGTTTCCTAGATTGCTTCTATTATTATCCTACATTTTCATACGATTTCGTTTCACTTTGAACAAAAATATAAGGAAACTGAAATCCCGTCAATCCCATTTCGTATACAAACAGAAGTTGAAATCCCAAAATTTACTCTGCGAATATCCGAGAAAAAAAGGAAACCATTACCAATCGACCAAATTAGGAGCCCATTTAAATTAGCTGAAACGTCCATCGCTGGACTACCACGACGTAACGTCGGCAGGAGATGGACTCACTCTCTGGGGCAATTGGATCGTCATCAGCGCGCAGACAACGTTTTCAAGAAGGGCCGTGCAACGAAGAGTCGTTCCCGGCCCGGAACTAAATCCGGCAAACGAACGAGTAAATTGCATGTCACTCGACGAAAACAAATAGGCCGACGTGAAATTTGTTTCAACTAGTTTCAGGAGGGAAATTTTCCGAGCATGTCTTCCAGTTACAACTTGTAGGGCAATGAGGCATCATTAAATATGAACCGACACCTACTAAACAACCATTCTACACGACATTATTCTAATTTTCTATATGACACTTGCTTTATTATCTTTGTTATGAAGGTGTCTTATTTACTCGTTTAGTTTGAATAGAAACTAATGACTACTAAATAATAACTTTTCATTCGTCGCTCTGAAAAATCTCATGTAATAAAGGTGTTTTCACGAAAGATGATCATCAAAGAATTGGTTATTTCATCATAATTGTAATTTAAAAAATAACATAAATGGTGGATGCGCCAGGGGTATTATAAATTCAAGTAGGAATATTGACAAAACTGGTTCTATAGATCTTTGAGGGTGGCGTTTATCGTGTACATGCCAATCCATGAAAGATTAATCTTGATTCAGGTCAAGTGCTACATTCCCTATGGTGGGGAACGGAAGTCATGGTGGGATCCGTAAGCACAGTTAACCCTAAAATGAGGGTGTTCGAAGTAGATAAGGATATGACACAAGAGGATGTAGTTCAATAGTTATGGAGGAAAAATCGGGGTAAAGAAGCAGAAATAGAATGAAGAGATTTCAAGAGAGAAGCTTCATTTTGTGCAAAATGAAGAGAAAGACCACTGGTGCCTGCATCTGTATCGGATTCCTCATAATATTTTTGAGAAGATTCAGAAAGAAAGAGAATAAACGTTTCGAAAGAAGTAATGTTTTTTGATGAAATCACGTTAAATCTGTTGGGCGTAAACTGGGTAGCTTAGGGTGGCAATATTATCTATTCTCTTTTGTTGTTCTTAATTGAAACACCGTCGAACTATCCACCTCTGGCCATCACGCCATCAAGCCGCTATATCTATTCGTTTTATTTTAAGCATCATTATTTCATCAGAAAATTTTTAATTAAACCACTACTAAGTTTTTGAAACGCTTAGATAACATAATGATAAACTCCATCTTGGGCAGTATGTCTATTGCACAGGGAGGTTGTTGGAAGTCATGATAAACCGAGTGATGCAAAAGAGGCCCTCGTGATGTTTATCGACATTTCGGGAGTAGTATCTAATTCAAATCAAATTCTGAATATAATTAGAGTAGTACGCAATGCAATACAGGCGTGCAAGAGGCTTACAAAGAGTTGCCCATAACCTCGTCCTCTCGAGACTTTCTAAGCAGGTGGAGCAAAAGACAGAAGTAGCTAAGGATGTTGTGTCTAGCTGGGCAGAGACAAACTAAGAATTACAAAGGGAAAATAACGTTCGCAATGATAAAGGTAACCTACTTAGATATTCCAGAATTTTGATAAATGAGACACCAATAATAAGAAGGCGGACAAACTTCTAAGTGGATTCTAGAAGAAAAACAGAACTTTACGGATGTCCTGATAAATGTGTTCAATCCAGCCACCACGGCATAGTTTAGACTAAATGATTTTCAATAAAAGTACTTCTTTTATATTTCACCACCTAACTTATATAATTCCTGTTACCGAGTCACTTTCTCTCATGCATATTTCTATCCTGAAAGAATCTAATAAGCGGAGTAATCTTTAAAAGTTGCGCTGCTTGAATATTCCGAATTTTTACAACATTAAAAAAAAAATCGACGTGCTTCGACAATATATTTAAGTTTCGAAATCTGTATATGTAGTCTGTTTCTCTCTGCTATCACTTTCTTGCATTCTTCATCAAATTATGATGCTGTTTTCCGTCTATCTTGTTTGCCTAATATTGATTCTGCAGTATCCGTTATTATCATTTTAATGTTGTGACGCTGTTCTTGTACAAGTTGTGAATGTAGTTCTAGTTCTGTCAGTCTTCTAGTAGCTTGCTTCTGTAATTTCTCCTGTATTTCTGGGCGTTTTAGTTTTTCTATGTTCAACTTGTTTTTATTGCACCTGAACGTTATCTGCACCAAGAAATGATCTGAGCCATAGCATGCTCACTTTCGTGTCTTTATGTCCAATATAGTCCTTGATGCTCTTCTGTCTACTAGAACGTGATCAATTTGATTTGATTGTACATCCAACGGGTTACATCCACGTAGCTTGATGAATGTATATAACATCTTTATGTAGGAATTGTGTGCATCTTACCATCATATTTTTACTGTTTGCAAAGTTTGTCAGAAATTCCCCGTTTTCATTAATCTTCTTGTGCAGGGAGTATCCTCCTATAATACCCATAAAGTGCTGTTCTTTGTCGATCTTGGAGTTCATGTCACCCATTATGAGCTTGATATCATTTTCTGGTGTCTTGTTATATACTCTTTCCAGGTGCTGGTTAGAATTTTTACCCGACCCAACCCAACGTCTTTTATTTCTGTGTCTTGCTTTTCTGTTGTGCGGTACACATTGATTATGTTTAAATTAAAAAACTTTTCTGCAAATTCTTTCATTAATTGCTTCAAAGTTTAGAACGTTTGATGTTATTTTGTTGTCCAGGATAAATGCTCTGCCAACTTCTTTACTTTCTCTTTTCTATTTGCTTTGTAATATTACATGAGTTTACGCACAAAAGCATTACAAACTGCGATTTGCCGGAGATACAATCTTTAATGAAGGTTACAATGGCCAGAGTAACGTCATGGGAAGTATGAAAGTGA